ATGCAGCAGTGGAAATGGCATTCTCATATTGATTTGCCCAGAAGCGGGAACATGTTTACTAGAAAATGTTTACCCGTCGACGGGTGGTCAATGTTTACCCAGTGGCAGGTAAATGTTTACTTGTTGACCGGTGGTCAATGTTTTCCCCGTGGCAAGTAAATGTTTACTTGTTGACGGATATTTGGACTGGACAGGCGGAGTGCTGTGATAGGTTGCGATACTTCGAGTTTTTCAAGAAATTCAATGGCTTCTTTTGCTCGTACTGTAATTGAGTTTATTGAGAATTGTAATAAAATCACGGTGCATATCGCGTATGATAAAAAACTTTATTTACAACCAGAGAGAACCCGCCCTTATTCCATCTGAACTGTGTACTGTACGGCACCCCTGGTACAGTGGCATGCTTCTCACAGCACTTTGACGCTGTGTGCGGAGAGTATCACGTGATTCATCCTGCCAATAATACAGTATGGAAGTGTATTTTCCATGCAAACACTGCTATTGCGACAGACATCCATCCTTCGACTTTCAAGAACTTGATGCACGCCTAGATCATTCTTTTGTGAACGTCAAGCACTGTTGCCCTTCGCAATCAATCTACGGACATCAGCCGCAGTACTGCATCCTTCTTTCGAGAAAAGACACCATCTTGTGAAGGCTATTTTGAAAGGAAATGCATAGACATCCCCCACGAGCACCACGGTGCGCAAATCGGTATGGCTCCATGAAGGTGCAGGTTGACCTCAGCTAACGCGAACCGAGATCGAAATCTGTGTCATTTCGGCAGTCGAAACTTCTAATAGAAGCGAAAGCGTTGCAAGATTTTCCCACTTTTCTATGAGTGTCAGATCAAAAGGCTCAAGGTTTACCCCTGTGCAATATTCGATCTGCTCAGGAAACCTTCATTGTTACGTCTGTGCAAAAGGTAACCTGTGAGCTCTTTTCAACTGTTGCGTGTCTGTGCCTGGGGGTCGTGTTTGAACAACGTTCCTTCTGCTCGAACTGTTTCTTTCAATGGCATCAACAGACTATGCAGTATTCCAAACATGCTGATTTTGTGCAGCTCTCCATAGTGTACTGCAGAAAACAGTAAACAAAAGCGTAAAACTTAACTGCAAAGTGCAAGCGGGACATAGACATTCCAGGGGATTATGGTGGAGAAGTTTGCAAGGTATTGCATTGCAAGGACCTACTAACATATTCTTCAACTGTGGATCAGCTTCCGCTAATTTATTATTCCTTGAAATTCTACTGTCTATGCTACTGTATGCTGTGACTGATTTGACCAGCTGTGGTCTGGCTAATGCCAACTCGGTATGTGTACCGTGTATACTGTACAGTATATCCTGTACAGTATATCCAGTACAATATCTTCGGTGGGAAGCTCTGAACAAGTCGCCGTCGAAATTTATTAAACCTTACTGGAATACTTGAGGTCTCAGCTATTGTTTAGCAAAAGCAGCCCTCACAATAGATTCGTTCCTATCTTGACATCAGCGTTTTGGACTCTCCTGTGTTTGCTTTCTGTGTCAGAGCATTGCAAAAGTAAGACGCGACGTTTTTAGAAGAAATGCTTGTTCCACTGTAGTTACCATGTGTGCATAGAAGAACATGATATTTTCCTCTCTTACCAGAATAATAAGCCCTTTTCGGAGGACGCAATATGCTGTCCCTCTCAGAAAGAAAAAAAACATGATTTTTTCCCAAGCATGAGACCCGATCTTGATTTCAACCCAGCATAAAAGTAAAAGAGTGCGAAAAGTCATGTTGCTCAGAATTGCTCTCGATGCTGCTTGGCTGCTCGAACTTGTCTTGTCCGTTTGTTAGTCAGCCTCTCACTTTGGAAAGAGTTAAGAGGTACGACGAAATTACATCTGAGTGTACCAAACGGAATTCAGAATTGATAAGGATTAAATTGCTGCTTGTCGGCGTTGGATGTGCAATATCTGAATTCTGAGACTCCTTTTACTTACCATAACAGCGCCGAATGTTACTGATGACACTTTTTTGATTTTGATCTAGAGAGTGAGAAAGTGAAAGAGGGGGTCACCAAAATATACTAGCGGGGTAAGTTACCGACACTTTCTGCATCCTAGCTCGTCGGCTGGAGAGAAAAAAACTATAAAAAGCGTCGCACGTGCACTTCAGTCTCTTCTCGTGACTGCATTATAAATGGAAGACATCGTCTCGGGAAGAACTGGGTGAATGCCACTCAGGCGCTGTGCAGCTTCAAGAGAAACGAGTTTCACAAAAGAAAAGTGTACAGTAAGATGCCACGTCGAGCAGAGGTTGCGGGCAGTGTTTCATCTCGTAGAGACGGCACAGAAATGTATATTCTTATTCTTAGAGATGATCAAGAATACATACGGTACCTTCATGATGTTAAACGAAGTAATGCGACAGGGCAAGAAGTACAAGGTGCTGGCTTCGTGGACGCAGCTGATGATTCGACTTCCCAGAAAACATCCATAAAGAAACATCATCGAAAACGAAACGTAAGCTCCTGTGGTGCCTATACAGACGGACAGAACCTCAACAGAGATGTTAGGGTATGGAACAAATAAGATTGCTCATAGTTATGGCTTTCCACATACAGTACTGTACCAGCTCCTCTTCCGGCGGCGTTTGCTTTTTTTTTTTTTGTTGGGCATGGCGCAAATTTTCAATGGGTAAGATCGCTGGATCATTTGGGCACGCGCTTCCGCGAACATGCACACTTGCTGATAGCGCATGGAGGGCCATGGTTTGTGTTGTATGCCCATTGATGAAATAGAAGAGGCCTGCTGCGTCGGAAACAAATATTTGGGCTGCGGCTTATGCTGAGAGTAGAACTAGTCATGCAAACGTGTCTTTTTCCACTGATTCGAGAATAGTGCAACAAACTGGCGGGGCGACAAAAATACCTCCTGTATCTTCTGAATAAAGCACATGGTATACGTTGCTGTGATTGGATGGCCACGTATTGCACCGGCCGTACGTTTGCATTCCTTCCGCAAGAAGCAAGAAAATAATGGATACGAAGCAGAGAGGTTAGTTTCTTCACTCGGGCCATGTCGAGCTTCCGTAAGCTAGTACAGTATACTGTACCCTGGTACCGTACCAAGGGAAGCGGAGTAACTTGCTCCGCCTTAAGGGCGTCTCAAAACTCATCTGTATCAGGAGCCGGGGGGGGCGGAACAAGACGTCTTGGCACAGCAGCGAGGTGTATGTGGAGGAATTAACACAGTCCAGGACCAGGGCCATGCACAGTAACATTCTCAGGAAGAACGATGACATTAATCGCCATGGCAGACGCAACAAGACAAGAGTCAATTTAAAGGAGCCTCAGTGTCCTATCAACATTATTTGCGAATCACAGAAGATCTGGAGAGAGAACAACTGTACTCTTGCACACGATACAGCCCATGTTGGCGAACGCGTGAGACGACACTGCCTTCTCATGCTCAGGTGCGTTAAATTGGTGATGAACATGCATTAATATATTTTAGCGGTGTGATGAATACAGCAAAATCCTAGCAATAACGCGAAAGCATTCTGCCGCAGTAAATTGACTTTAATATACACACAGCCTTACTATAACTGTGCGGCGAGGGCATCGCTAGTAATATTGGCCTAAAAATGTATTTTCGGAAATAACTGGAGAACTCCAGCCTTAATTTGAAGGTGGCCTTATTGTCTGCCGCTATATTTAGCAACCACCGCCGAGTAAGACATACACCGCTGGTGAGATACGTCTTGCAACCGAGTTCGCGGTAGCACCACACGAGCCTTTTTATGATCGGTTGGTTGGTAGTCGATGCGTGTTTTATGGTTTGGGGGGGGGGGGGGGAAGGGGGGCTTCTTCGAAAGCAGCCAAGAGGAACGGTGTTGAGAGTTGTAATTGCGTTTCGGAGAAACAGGCTTGTTGCGCGCTGTCTAGCTGCGCTCTCAATGTCATACAAAGGCTATACGTCAAAATTGCGTACAGTAGCTCGGCCCAACTACTTCCCTCACCGGACCCCTCCCTTTGCGCGTCTCGCCAACTGTGGCAGTGTCCACCACTGGGTCGTCGAATGCGTTGTTTTTTGCGGAAATATTTCGTTCATTGCCTATCTTCTCGCACCATAGCGCCGACGCCCCACTTTTTCCTCTTTCACCACTGAAGGGGTTGCCATTGATGGAACACGTTCTAAACATCAGCCTCACCGCCTTGTGCTGATTATCGCCGCCCCCCGATAGCTGCCGCAGATCCCGTCGCGAATATTCCGTAGCGCATATACGGGACACACGCACATCTCCACGGGTCAACCCTACCCCCGTCTTGCATCCACACACGCAGCCAAATCACCAAACTCTTTCCGTCTCTGGCTGGTTCTCGTTTCATCCATACCCCCACCTGCAGGCATCCCCGCGGCCTCGACATCATCCAAATTCTCTCACCCGAATTAGAAGACTGCGTCGTCTTCGAGCGTCGTCACACCTTCGTCTCTTTTCGTCCGTGCGACAGCCAGCGCTTCGATTCTTTTTCACTGCTCCAGGCATTTCCGTGTGCGCATCTCTTCGGGTGGACTCGCTAACGGCATTCCTACTCCGCCTTGTTGTGTTGCGGTTTGGTTGCCACCGGCTACGTCTTCCATCTAGTCAAGAGAGACCCAGACCCAGCACCACAAGTTGACAACCGTCCAAGTCCAAAGTTTCCCGCCCATTCTTCACTGCCAACGCGCTTTTTGCTAGGGAACTAGAGGAAGGCTGCCCTCACGTTGCGTATATTTGGACAGCGCCCTTGGCGTACCAACTGCGGGTGCGAAAGCGGAATCGGTTTGCTCTATATGAACACGGCCTTCGCTTCCATTGCGCGTGTACCGCTTTCCTGATCCTTGCCCTTCGGATTGTACTTACTCCAACCAGCGAACCGCACCGACCTTCACAACAAAACTTTAGAAAGGTATCCTCGTTTTCATCGACTCGCATACCGTTTCGGACCTTCTGGTCGCTCTTGGTGGAGTGAAACACTTTTTGACATGGTCGATTGGCGCAGTACTGCCTCACGTGTCCGTAACAGTATCTCATCTCGAGCAGAGGCCCTAGCAAATCGTAATGAGCCCCCGACGACCTCGGGGCAACGCCGCTTGGATAGAAGCAACCATCAAGGCGACTTCATGCAATCTCGTGCACCGCAACCGTCTTTAGCAACCGGATCTGTGCAAAGCATCGATGCTACGAGCACCGGAAGCTCGATGTCGCGAGTTCCGGGAGCCTTCTACATTCCGACTACCGATGCCCAGCGCGCTTCGGTCTACATGCGACCAGAAGAGGGGGCTGCTCTTCGTCGCCAACTCGCTTTTGATGCCCTCGCTCTCGTCAGGGAACTCCCTTGTTCCGTCGATGGCTACATGCTTGTGAAGAGGGACATGTCGAGAATTTCCACGTTGTTCAGGTCACAGTGGATGCAATTCTGGGCAGAGCTCCGGGGGGGCATGATATTGTTTTGTGATCCCCACACTAATACCGACTATAGTCAACAACAACAAGAGCGTCAGATCAAGCACGTAGTTCCCGCGACAAACTGCCTTGTTGATGTCAGACATACCCCCTCATACTCGCAGCTCAAACTCCACAGACCGGACGGGCAATGTGTTGTATTGAGAATGGCTACGGCACAAGATGCACAACAGTGGGCGATCGCAGTTCAAACCCAAACGTTTCAATATACCACAATTAGACTCGCGGACTTCGACTGGATTACTGCTATTGGAAAGGGAGCTAGTGGGAAGGTCTTCCTGGTCCGAGACAATCGCACTAACGCACGCCTGGCCCTGAAAGTGATCGACAAATCTCGAGTGTTTCGGTCCCAGCTTACATTTCAGCATGTCATCAATGAACGTCTTGTATTGGAGATGTGTTCCGGATGCCCATTTCTGATCCAAATGAGGTACTCTTTCCAGACCGATTCTCATCTGTACTTTGCAACTGATTTTTACGATGGTGGAGACGTCTTCTCATTGTTACAGAGCAACGGCAGCAGGTTAAGTGAACCTTACGCAAAACGAATCATCGCAGAGATTATCCTAGCTTTGTCCTGGTTACATGAGAGGAACATCGTCTATAGGGACTTGAAGCCGGAGAATGTGGTTCTGGACGGCGATGGACACGTACGTCTTGCAGATTTCGGTTTGGCTAAGGTGCTGAAGTCGGACCATGACTATTTGACGCAAACGATTTGTGGCACCACAGCATACGCTGCTCCAGAGATGCTCCAGTCAAAACCATACAATGTATCCCTAGATTTGTGGTGCCTCGGGATTTTCATTTATCACGTGTTATCAGGTCGACCTCCTTTTAACTTCAAAAAACGATCGATGGTGGAAATGGAACAGATGCAGCGGAATAGAACTATCCACTACTCGCCGTCGCTCAGTCTAGAAGCAGTGTCTTTGATCAAGGGACTGCTCCAGAATGACCCTTTTCGCCGGTCTTCGCTTGAGGACGTGAAGAGACATCCATTTTTCCGGGGAGTGGATTGGGTCCGAGTGATGCACAGAGAGCCGCACCCAGATGGTATTTCCCCTTTTGTGAGTGATAGGGATCAAAGAGAGAGTGCTGTTGCCCGCCTAGCGGTTGCCCGTGCGCAGCAACTTGGTATGGAAAGCGAGTCGACCACTTCCCTGGCACGAGCAGACGTACAGGAGATCAGCTCCATGACCTTAGACAGATATTTGCTACGCAACATCAACCCGGAAGAATGGAGGCACGTTAGCTTCAGCGATGATGATGATGCATCAGCTTCCGCGGAGTTCCCCCCTTTCGTACACAGAAGGGGTTCTGGAATGGAGACGTGGGCTATCGCTGGGTGGGCCTGGACTTGTAGCGAAGCAAGTGGGCTTGGATCCATGGGCAGACATGGGCGACGTGATTATGGAGGTCTGGGTGACACGGGAGGCGGAGCAAGCGGCCGAAGGTCTCTCCCTTCGTTAAAGAATCCATTCAGGGATCAACAGTATGGTCGGAGACCACCGGCAGAAGACCAAGTACATCCGCATTTTGCACAACGGCCATCTGTTCACGGAAACATTGGAGGCCTTTCGCCGCAAGGGCAACGACACGAGAGGGTTAGACGCGGTATCCATGGGTCTGAGTCACACCGATTGGACTTTAACGCAACTGCAGAGAGACCGCTGCGGCACAGTGCGGACGTTCGGCATCCCGTTCGCAGCAGTGCAGACGCACCGGGCGCAAGAGAAATCCCGGTCACGTCTCGGAAGACTGGAGGAAGGGGTATGTTGAAGCTTGGCCGGAGGCTGACGCCATCTCGCAGTGGCAAAGGACGTGCGAGCCTCGATGGGGTGTTGGGCCGATCAAGACGGAGCATGGAGGGTATCGGCCGTGAGGACAGGAAGGTACGAAATGAAGAATTTTATCGCATGCCAGGAAGAAATTCTTCACGGAGGCATGTACGGTCAAGCATGGAGACGCCGTTTCGAAAGGACCGGATACGATCCAGCTTTGATTTCGGCCGGACAGAGAGTGATTCAACGTAGGAAGCCAGTGGCAGTTTAATGCTTGTAGAAAGGCGCATATTGGGATGGGAAGAACTGTACATGATTTGCTTTTTGTATTGGAGTTATTCGGCTTTTGTAAAGGTACTAGTGTACATGCAGATGTCCAGTGCAAAATGCTTCGGACTTTCAGAAAGCATTGGCTGCACAGTTTCTGGATGACAGTCGTTCTCACCTGTGGCCAACTGATCTGCATGAGGCCACTTCACTTTTTTGTGACGGGTGTAATCTTCCAGGGAGAATGCCGTAGGAATCAACTGTACAGTTAGGAGAGCTGCAACTGAGATGCCTGCGGAGCACTCATAAAACGGGGACTCTGATTCCCTATACCATGGAGAAACTGCATGTCGTCCCTGTTTGTGACTCCCACAACTCTTTTGCAATACTTTTTTCCATACATGCACTTGTCTTGACGTCGACATGCGAAAGGCAGATGGCACTACTGAATGTTAGCTGACAGGTCATGAAGGATATGACGACCGGAAGAAGTCGCAGGAAGAAGTCGCCGGAAGAATCAGGGAAAGAGGATAGAAGTCCAGGAAGGCACTGCAGAAGGGTGTGCGATTAGTTCAGGATGGCGAGGTCGCAGACAGGGTCGCATGTGGCGCGGTCTAGTGTATCGGACTATTGTCCTCATCTGAGGACATTATTCGACATATTTTATTCTTGACTTCCGCTTCCTCGACAAGAAAGAAAAAGATACCCCTGCCACCGTACTTTTGACTTGGGGCCAGAAAGAACTTTGTCAGAATTGCTTGTTCTTCCTGGTTGTTTTTACATATGTCTGAAAAAGAAGTCTGAAAAAGAAGCTTTTTTAAACCACCTTAAACCTGCATGTAAAATAACTTCGAAACCAAAACGCCAGTTTAAAAAGGCAACTTCGAACTCAATACAGTCAGCCCTCCCAATAGTACTCCCCCGATAGTAATAAACCCCCCAGTATGAATACCATCCGTCTTTCCCGCAAGAAAAAGTGTGATTTGAGATGCTATAGGCAGGTCATCTGGATACGGAAATAGTGTGTTGATTTCGCAAAAACACATTGAATATTTATTAAAATTTGAAGTAAGACCATTTCGAATAAGGATACAGTAGTGGTCACAGAACACGAAACCAACAGGTATGTGTTGGGCGACCAACTCCCGCCTTTTTATTCACGATACCCACCAAGGTTTTGCATAGCGCGTGCGGTCGCTGGCGGCAGCCCATCTCATCCCCTTGGCAATCTCCCTTCTCCCCCATCCCGCCCAAGTCATGTCAGAACGCAATCGCCTTACTATCGCTCAGCAAAAAGAGCTTCTTGCCGAGTACGATTTTCGCCTTCGCAACGGGGAACGCTGTGATCAGCGTTCTGTTGGAGAATGGGCAGGTCGTTACTTTCAACTCAACCGACCTGTTCCGCAGTCTACTGTCTCGCGCATCGTCAAGACGCGCAGCAAGCTAGAGGCGAGTGCATCCACAAATTCGAAATCTCTTCGGAACCCGTTGTCTTCACGATTTGATGAAGCTCTTGCTGTATGGATCAGCGACTGCGCAAGCCGTAACATCGCCCTTTCGGATAATATCATCAAGCAGAAGGCCGAACGTCTTTGGAAATCGACAACGAACGACGACACGGCTCCAGAGCTTCGTTTTTGTCGGACTTATGAGGTCTCGGAGACTCGAGATACTCGACAGATAATTGGTCACACGTCAGCCCAAAACGAGATCGAGATCGACTCGAAATAATAAGAAATTTACATTCAGTCCGTCGGCGATTAGCGCCGACGAGACTGAGTCCACCACATATACCTGGGTACGATCCTCATCACTAGTAGAGGAGGCAGTTGGGTTTATCGAAGTAAAGTGCATTTTATGCGTATCTTTGACAGAAGGGAAGAGACACCTCTACCCAACATCCTGTTCTCCTTTTTCTCCACACCCCCTCCCGCACGAGCCTTTACTGCTCGACGATTGTACGACGAGAACCTCGTGCGCAGAGAGCAAAGAAGGTTTCCAACGACAATCCGGATTCTGGATACTTATCTTCGCTCATACGTTTACCTTGAATCTACTTGTTCCCTAGTGGTTGACCACCATGGCTACCGCTACCCGTGCTCAAGTGAATGCTCGGTACCAGCGCCTCAGGCGATCTGCATCTATAGCAGAACCCACTACTGAACATGGAAAACAGCTACGGGACGTAGCTCTCTACACCCTCAACCTGTACCCCATAGCCGACGAATCGGCAAGTTCTGCGGGTGTAACTATGCCCCCTATTGATGAAGTGAGAGAAGCTATGAAGAGTTTGATGCCGTCTCCTTAGGACATTCTGACTGTGGAACTACTACGCGCGCCTTTGTTCCCTCTTGCTTTGTTACGGGATGTTGCCACTCTGTATGGATTTGGTGGTGTTCTTGACGGTTTGAGCACAGCATTAGAACTGAGTTCTAGTGATACCAGCAACCGTTCGATCATGACACACGTTTGGTTTACAAACTTCTTAGGGTGCTCTCACGATACTATTCGCACCGCTGTGGGAACGTATCGTCGTACTCGGGGATCACCCAACCTCCTAACCAGACAAAGGAGTGCTGCAACTGAAGCACCCGTGTTTTTAACTGCAGGTGTCCAAGCAACACCACAAGTCGTACCAGCAGACAACAGGGACAATTCCGGTGACACTCCGTCTTCGATACCGAATGTTATTACCACTCCGAGAGGTAATGGAACTTCCCAGCATACTCATCATCGTCAAGCTATCAATGTTGCAGGAGCGGAACATGGCATTCGTAATGGTAATCAAACAAATGGTGCTGTCCCACCGTCTACGACTGTCGCAGGGGTCGAATCTTCCCTTCCGTATTCGGTAGATGTGAGAGAAGACACTCGAAAGGCAAACTATGTATTTCAGCACTTCAAGGATAACCGTTTTACCGGTGGCCTGACTCAGTCAATCGAAATGACGCTTCGCGACTACAACATATGTGCACGTCAACATCGCTTGTCTACTTCGCAAAAGGCAGACTACTTTGTTAACATTCTTAATGGACCGGCAAGGACATTCTTCTTCAACAACGCTAGAGATGATATGTCTTTTGAACAGATGGCAGAGATGATGGTGACAGAATTCAACAGCAACGCACGCCAAATCTAAGTATATGGAATACTGTCTACGTTAAGAATGAACAGTATAATGTCGGAACATGAGCTATCCTCATCCACTGAGGGCTTGACTAAGGTTGTCAGCATGATCGAAGAGATGTCACCACAATGCCCTCCACATTTTAGATCTGAACCGCACAAGATCGGATACTTGCGCAACGCTGTATTGGGCTACTCTTGGTCGAAGACTCCCATAAGTAATATTGTCACTGCGCAATACTCATTCAATGGATTTATCACATCACTCCGTGAGCACAGGCAACTTGAGGAAGAGATACTCAATGTATCCAGGAGACCTACGGGTATCCGACATGCTTTCTCAGACGACATTTTCGTACAACAGTATGGCCGTAACCCGAAGTATGTGCAGAAGTACCCTCCGAGAGGAGGATTCAAGGGTGGACAACAATTGAATATTGGTCGCCCGGGCATTGCTTCTTCTCCCGCAAATCGTACTTTCGAAGAGAGCAGACGTCGGAACGAATGTCATAGATGTCGTGTTGCATGGCGTCCGGGACATCGATGCAAAGCCGGATCCATTCGGAATCAGGTGCGTCAGCGGATGGTCAATGGCGAATCGGCAGTACATGTCATGTCTGACTTTGTCGCAGCCCTGGAGGGAGAACTCACTCAAGACCTCCCTGAATCAACGGATACCCCAAACAATTTGGCACACGACAATGAAGCAACAGACCCGCACGTCCACTTCAGCAAGAACCCAGACGAAGTATACCTGTTCGATTCATTAACGTCTGACAATCCTGTTCAGGATACTGCTGCCGTTGAAGAGGAAGATAAGGAATGGTTCACCCATCACTTATCATCATCCATGTCTGAGGGACATACTCCTTACGGCACAAACATCGATGAGCAGGATTTTTAACTCGGCGACGAAGTAATCAGCCTCAACTTCGCCGCCCAGCGCGATGGGCAGCCTCCCATCGCACCACTCATCCGAGGCGCAAACAATCTCCCGTCGAAGTCGATGCGACTCACATTCATGCAACGAAATTGAACAACTATAACCGTTGCCGTTATCAAGGCTTTTGTATTGACATTGGAGCACCGAAATCTGTCATAGGACACGAAGAGCTGACTTGGATATTCGCCCAACAAGACTTGAGATCTCCAAATCTCTCACAGCCACCGTTTCAGAACCGTTTCCGCTTTGCCGAAACCACTTTTGAGTCGCTTGGACAGATTAAAATACCACTTAAGACACCCTTCGGTGTTGCTCCTATCAACGTGCAACTTGATGTCCTTCAAGCAGATATTCCAGCTCTACTTGGGATGGACATCTTGGACCGGGAATCCTTCATCGCAGACACTGTCGCGAATCGTCTGACAAAGCGAAAAAGGATCGAGAATAAGAAAGGAAGGATATGTTACATTAATAAATGGTCTGTACCCCTGTACAGGGCTAAAAGCAATCATGTTTTCGCCAAAATGTACTTCCCACCGAATATCTACTTCAGCAGAACACAACTTCAAAAACTACACAAACAATTCTTTCATCCATCAGCTCAAAAGCTGTTCAATCTTCTCCGCCGTGCTCGACCAGAAGAAGCTACCCCTGGTACTCTGGAAACGTTACGGGATCTCGCAAAGAGGTGCGATCCTTGTCAAGGGGTTCAGAACGCACCATCAAGTTTCAGGGTATCTTTTGGAGCAGAGAACGTCCGCTTCAATGAGAGAATACTGTTAGATATCGTGTACATCGATGGAAAATCGGTCTTGCACATTGTAGATGAAGGTACGCATTTCTCTGCAGCACAATTCCTCCCAGACGTCTCAACGAAGACAATATGGGCGACGATACTCAAATGTTGGGCGACGATTTACACAGGTCTACCGAACCGGATACTAGTCGACCAAGGGAGCGCATTTGGACCGCTATTCATCAATATTGGTGCTGTGTCTAATGTACAAGTGAATAGAACTGGGATAGAAGCCCACTCAAGTCTTGGACTCTGTGAGCGATACCATCAACCCCTCAGACAAACTTATCAGAAG